AGCTGGTGAAGTAGTAGTTTCCCATCGCGATCGCCTATGACTGATTCAGAGCCCCAGCCGGAGATCCGGGCATGCGAGGGCCCCGTAACCATGGTTGGGATGGTTGGGATGGAATTTAGGAGCTCCTCTGTGAAAGTTTTTGTTACGTCCCCGCTAGCCGTCAGCACCATCATGTGTGCTAAGACATTGGCGAAACCAGGGCTTAACACAGACTTGGCCTATTACGATGACGACTGCACCTACCTACTACGGCATACTACAGCTGCAAGACTGTCAGAACGACTCCTGCCACGCCTGCTACCGCAACTACCCTGCATCCTACTCTTTCTAATCTCAATCTTACTACTATGAGGTCGGCATGGGCTCAAGCGGCTGGGCCTGGAACAGCTATCTTACGTCGAATGCTTTCTATCATGTCGGCCCAGTGGCGACGTTGCCCGTCACGTCGATCTGGTGGTTGTGGAACCTAAGCCCCGAGCAAGCCAGAAAAGAAGCCTCTGGGACCGAGGCCAATGAAACCCTCAACTAATTGGGTGCTTTGCGTTCTGTGCATGATGGGGGGCCAGCACAGCGTTGGAACTACATATAGATTCTTTGCATTTTGGATTACGCATGGGAACATGGAAAAGTTAGGAAAATTGCGGATCCAAACCATATGCAACCATATTACGTGACTTCACAAAATCCCCATTGTACCGAGTGACTAGTTCCGAGCAATCCCATACATACATACATACATACATACATACATACATGTCGTGTTGCGTGGCTTTGCACTGTAACTTTGCGGCCCGAATAATTCCGGGCGATTCCGGGCGATACATAGCCCGGAACGGTTCCTTCCTTGCCTAGTTGCTTGCAGCCAAATCTAGACATACTTCGGGTTCCAGTTTCTCACCCTAACACAACAAGGTTGAACCCTAAAGGTCAAAACATACCGCTAAACTGGGGTACCTAGGCACGCCACGTCAGCCCAGCCTTTTCCACCGTTGATGGCAAAGCCAGCGTCCTCGAAGGGTGTTTTGCTGTCTATAGGGCTTGCATATAGTAATTATCACATATCTACAGGCTCCCGTGGAGCTTTCCGGACTGGCGTAGGGTTTCGGATGAAAGGCTTTCAGAGTGTAATTCTCGACGTTGGCAAACAGAAATACATCCGTGGCATCTCCGGGACCGTTGTTTTACGATGGGACCAAATGAGTTGTAGTCAACTCTCTTTAAAAGGGGTTATATAGGGGACTACTACATGCGTATTTGGGGGGATACTAGGAGTGAATGCAGACAATGGCTCAAGCCACAAGGAACTATGGAAAGTGCTCTTCTTCTCATTTGGGGTGGTATTGTTGGCGGACATACAAGTCGTGGCAGGATCTGCACTATACCGGTCTAAATGCTACTCAATTTTCCTGGTTGCGCTCGGGAGTCTCAATTAGCCAGCTCTCCATGAATTATCGGGTAATGAGTAAACGGACATCCCTGGACGTCCTCTGCGTGACCGTTCGCCACTGCCTTGTGTCCAACGAAGTACCTCAACTGAAAACTGTTGCTGCTCGCCTAACTCCCTAAACCCCAAGTCCTGAAAAGTCCACTTGCAGGGATTTTGGACGGGCCTGCAGAACCTGTGACGATCTCGTTCAAAAATGGTTGTTGCTGGTTACCAGGCTCCCAGACAACAAACAACGCTCGCGTTCCAAAACGGCTCAGATACGACATTGCGTCTGAGGCTGTTGGCCGGAATTGGCTTGTGGCAGCCTGCCATATCATCAGTGGGCTGCTAAACCAAGCGTGTGACGCCTTGAAGCTATCACTCAATGAACCACCCCCTAAACCCTAAACTTAAAACCTAAACCCTAAACCCTTAAACCCTAAACCCTAAACCCCTAGACCCCAAACCCTAAACCATGCAAGACAACAATTTCTGCCATCATCTCAGGTCTACCCGAGCCTTGGTAGGCTTGAAGAGCACATTCGTGTGCCCATATCCATACAGCTCACCCGCAGCTTTGGCGGCCGCCCCGACATAGTCACCTTGTGTTGCGCAGTTGTGCGGACACTCTGGAGTTCCAGAGCCTCTCAGCCCCACTTTTGAAAGCCTCCTGTCCCTGCTCTGTGCCGTACTCCCTTATCATCTCCATATGGCTGCCACCGGTCAATAACATTTGGTCAAAAATACAATGTTTGGATTCGGGTAGGTTTCGGGGGACTGTTTCGAGGTGTGTTTCGGAGGTACATGACTCTTGACGACAGGGACGTTGTCGGGTATGTTGCGGGCCATGCATCGGGCGGGTCAACCATGCGTCCTTACACGAATTTGCGCATTTGCTCCAGTCTTGGAAGCAGCCATATGGTCCCCGTGCAGCCCTAGAAACCCTACCCATCTCTGTTGAGAGAGCCCGCGCCTCCAGCAAGGTAGGTCCTGGAGATTGCCTTGATGGCGCTTGCCCAGGCCGTCTGCGCAGCTTTCACTTCCTCATCGGAGATTGCGGGCACGAAGGGCACCTGGGTCTGTGATGTCGGTTGTAGTTTCTTGAAGATGAAATGAGATCATCGTTTCTAATCACAGCTGCGAGGAAACTCATGCTTTAGCTGGCATTCTGTATAGTCGATATGTGTACAAACCATCACAACCCTGCACAACCA